ATGGTGTGAATCCATACAACATCCACAGACCTGAGAGCAGGTGACCTTTCCCCTTATAAACAGAATATTGCCACAAGATTTTGGGCTTCCCCTGTTTTCATTCAGTACAACAATACAGGAATCAAATGCAATAAAAAGCAGTTGTTGAAGCATATTCTGAAACACCACCTGGGGTTGAAGGAATAGCCGTCACGCTTTGCACAAAATTCAGAAGAGCATTTGGCTTCCTGCTGTGACCAGAAGTTGTATTTTAATCACTACAGAACATGATATGCCTGAGACAACCATGCAAGAGCCACATAACAGCCAGTAATTTTCCTCAGGTCGTGTCAGGCAAAAAGTACGGTGGTTTCTCTTCTCCCCATCAGATTTTGTGCCCCAGAAAGCTGTTGTCTGGCCTTTCTTGTCCCCGTGATATATTGCATCAGTCTGCCGGTTCCCACAAGTTCATGTTTAAAGAGCTTCTGTTCACTTATGTCTGCCTTGTAAAAGATCTCTTGTGTTGTTTTTCTCCCCACCCCCTTCAAGAGCAATAAACATTCTGCTAAGGAAAGGCTTCAGCATCAGTCAGATTTCAGTGCTGATTAGAGGGGAGGTGCTCTGGCTGCATTTGAAATGGGCCTCTTTGGGCTGTTCCTGCTTCTAAAATTAGCTGGGCCATTTCCCAAGAGAAGGCTGGGGGTTGATGCAGACATCCCCCCTGGCCAGCACGCTGGAGCTGTGCTGGAAAGCACAGGCAGGGAGCTGCAGAGCTGCTCAGAGTGGCAGGAGAGCTGGGAAGCTGCTCTCCTCCTGGCTGCCAGCGCAGCCATGGAAAGCTCTGCCTGCCAAACCCAACCTGCAGGTCACTGCTTCAAACCCTGCGTGTCTGAGGCACCCAGGGAAGGCCTGAAACTGCAGCCAGGGACAAAACCCCACTCAGCTCCAGCCTCTGCCGAGCCAGGGCTGTCATTATTTACGCCAGGACCTGCTCTCCCCTTGCTTTGCTGCTGAGCACTCACAAGAGCATTTCCCCCAGCAGCAAGGTCTGCGTTTCCCTGAGATACCCTGGGAGCAACACTGCAGAAAGGCAAAGGTAGCAATGCCTAAAAAATGTTTCCTGTCCTCATGCACAAAAAGATTCTCTACCTGATCTTCCAGGAGCTGTTGAATTCAGCCAATTTACTCAATTCTATGGAATTCAGTAAAGATTTGGACAAAGGTTCCAATACCCACAGGTTCTTAACTCAGGTAATTTTTTTTTCCTGCTGAAATGAAATAAAAGTTGAAAGTTCTCATTACTGTTTTTTGGCAGATGCACTAAGGATTGCGTGAGCTAAACCCTCCAGCAACAACAGCCATAACTCAAGCACTCACAGCCAAGCTCCAGTCCCAGTTCCTCGAGATCTCTAAGGCAGATGTTAGTTTGAAGCCTGAATGGCATTTGAAACCCTTGTATTTCTCCATATCCAAAGCTAAACTTTGCAAAAGGAATGTTATTTTGGACAGAAAAGAAATGAAACATCATGTGAGCTATGCATACCAATGCAAATAGGATGATTACACTTGAAATGTCACTAAAATACGTTCTGTATTTTCTGCATTCGCATGTGGAATAATGAAGGTTCTTGGTGTTAGTGGGACATTCAGGTGTTCAAACTGAGAACAGATGTTGAGAAACAATGCAGTGACTGACAAGCAATAATGCTTTTCTGTGACAGTGGATATCTTATCTTGCCACGAGATTTTTTTCCTTTCCTTTTTTGTTTTTTTGATGGGAGGAGAAGCTTTCATAAGTGATAGCATATCAAAATAATATCAATGTTTATGTAGTATCTTAAATGCAAATTAAAGGTTGACGGGGAAAAAAGTTATTTCATCATACTGCTCACCAAGATAGTGATATTGACAATTATAGGCCAGATTTTTTTTTTATCTATGTAAATACACTGACATAACTATTTAAGAGCACAAAATGTAATGTCTGCATTATGATTATTTATTTGTCATAAATAATCAACAAAATAAAGATTAAAAGAGAGAAAACTGCGTTAAAAACCCCAAAGAGAACCAGAAAGACATTAGTTGCAGGTCTTGGGGCAAAAATAGGATGCTGCTGCAGGGGTGATTTTTTTTCAATCCTGTTAAGGATTCAGACAGTGTTTTAACTTTAGGCATGACTGCTCTCTTTAATAATTTGTAGGTTTCAAGGACTCGTAGAAAGAAGAAGATGCAAGCAAAATGGATCATAAGACAATTGATGCAACTGAACATGAGCATAAACATCCTCATTTAATGAACTTCCAAAAATAAAAGGAAAGGGTGATTTTAGTCTAATTGAGCTAATATTAACTAATATTAACTTCTAGGAGCTTATAATTAATTTAATGTACTCTCTAAATCACTGTATATGAGACTTCCCTACCCCACAAGGACTATTGCCAGCAGCTTCCTTATTATGATTTGCTCCAATTGCAATTGAAACTCTTTTTTTTTTTTTCTCTGAATGCTTACAGCCAAACCACGTTATGCTCTGTAAATTAGAAAGCAATTATAAACTCATCCTCTTGTAGCCTAGAAGGAGCAAATCCCACATGCTGCAGCAATGCCTGGTGGAGACTGGGCATGAGAACATCAAACCGGGACTGAAGAGCAGTGGAGGGCAGTCCTGGCCTCACCCAGAGCACTCCTGCTGTGTGCACTGATCCTCCCCACTGCTGCCACTGCAGAGACACGGGTCCCAAAGCAGCACACCACGTAAAATGTGTGTTGCCAAGGAAAACACCCAAAATGGCTGAGGGCAGTGGTTTTCAGAGAGACTCGTGGCATCCAACTCTCCACTAATGAATCTGAGAGTTTAGGTCTGTGTCTTTTAGTCAGGTCTCTCTACTCCAGTGACAGTCCTACAACACTGAGGAGGAACTTAGTGTCCAAAACACATCAGGAAGATGGAAACTCCTACTGGTGGTCCATAACCCACCCCCAGTGTAGACTCACCACAAAGAGTGATGCTGTGTGCAGAGTCCAGAGCAGACCTCATGAGCGTGATCCCACCACTTTCACTCCAAACAGGAACAGGATTAACACTCTTCTTCTAAAGATGTGCCGAGAAAGAGAGCAGTGATGGTGCTTACCTTACAACCTCCACATGGGTAAGGGATTCTCCAAGGAAGAAAGCAAAAATCCTCTCCCTTTTCCCCAGGAACTGGGTGTAGCATAACAGGAGGGGCAGATGTACCTTCATCTAGATAAAGGCAGAAAATAACAGCACAGTAAAAGCCCAGAAACACTGTCCACCCTGTAAGCAGCAAAGTGCTTTCCACAGCAATTTCTGCTCCCTCCGGTTTCTGCAATTTCACTCCAATTAACCACAATAAATTACAGTTAAAATGTAGCCAGCTTAAAGTATGCAGGTACAGCCTGAAAACATGAACAGCAAACATCTAGAGAGGATCCAATGCTATCAGCTCTGTTTTCTCATCGTTTAGGAATAAAAAACACTCCCTGAAGTCAGGGTGCTCTGAAGGCTCTTACAAACCAGAAGAGGCTCCACTGCAGGAGAATATCCAGACCTGCTGCTCCCCCGCCTGGCTGAGGGGAAAGGAAAAGTCTCCTCTCTGCAGCAAACTCACCCTCCCGGGCTCCTGACATGCCCAGGTGCACATGGCATCCAAGAAATGGGGTTCTCAAGTTTAAAAACCCGTTACTGCATGTTTTACCCTCTAGGAAATAAAAATACAAAAGCATACATTAGGACTGGATTAATTAATTAGTCCTTCATGCAAAGCAGATTAGTCCAATATTTTGTAATTTTGCAATTTTAGTCTTTGCACCTATAAATATTACTAAACTGTTTATCTCCAACCTCTTTCTATTGGGAACTCATAAAACTGATATATTTTGCCTGGCCATACTCCAAAAGAAAAACAGGTCAGGAAAGCAATGACAAGAGAAACAAAGAATAAAGATAAGCGTAGATGAATATGAGGAATAGGAACAGTACACACAAGATTTTTTATTAGTTCAACGGGTGGTTTAGCAGAAAAATTGTGACCACAAACACTGAGAGCTTACAGTAAAATATAAAACCTCGTATAAATAATGGACTAGGAACAATATGAACTGAAGCCCAGACTAAATTAAACATCTCGCTTTTAATTCATCACTCTCTCACAGCCTTTCTGAACTTAGTTTTGCTTACAGTGTGAAAGAAAGTGTTGAAGGTACATCTCACCCTCTACAATTAAGACACCAGGATCTCACATTTGGAAACTATTTAGAAATACAGTGAGCAGTTCCTCGGAGACAAGATCTAATCAAAAACATAAACAATAAACGCAGGCATGAACCTTTCTACCTGTCTGCAGGAGCTGTTTATGTAAGAAATCTGACTTAAGCAGGACTGTTCACATGCACAGACTTTCAGAACTAAGAATGAGTCGAACTCTATGAAAAAATCATTCTTCATACCCTAAAGTTTTAAATACCTCATGACCCTGTTGTCCCTGAATTGTAAGGGTTTGAACGGAGATAAAAATCCTCCTTTCCCCATCATTCGAGAGATTTGAGGGAAATCTCTCCTCCTTTGCTGTTGCTGTTGCAGGGGATTAAATTGAAGGGGGGAGCTCACAACCCAGCCATTCCTGGGATTCTGCTCCAATCAACTGAGCTAATCTGGGTTTGAACCTCCCTGGGGGAGGGACTCTTCCCTAAATCCCGGCTCTCTGGGGCTGCCTTTCCTGCTGGAATATGGTGAGGAGAAATCCCGGGGAGCGTGGGATGCCCCCAAGAAGTTCGAGATTTTGAACTGAAATTCCATTTACTAAGAAGCATCCCCTGATGGGACAGCAATAAAACAAATAACTGCAATAAATAAATAAATAAAGTACAATGCACTGATTTTGCGTATTTTACGCATTTTGCGTATTTTAGGCATTTTATTTTTTTAACGAGTTTTTTCCCATTCCCATTCCTCTTTTAATGAGCTTTTTTTCCTCGCCCACTTTCCCAGCATTTTAAATTTACCCCGCCAAGCTTCTCCCGTGTCGAGAACCCCAAGCCTTCCCGCCGTGGACAGCAGCTACATCAACTCCTCGCTGATCCAGGACTACAGGCATCCACTCCACATGACACCCGTGCCTTACGACCTGCAGGCTGAGTTCTGAACAGCCCCCCAAGCACTAAAAATAATTAAAAACTCAAGATAATGAGCTTAAAATCTTTGCTGCTGAACAGAATTTGAAGTTTCAGAGAGAGAGAGAGCCATAAAAAAGAAGTAAATACAGATAATCTAAATCTTGAAAAGTCGATTAATATTCAGTATGAAAACTATATGGATAGATGCTAATATAATATATTTTAATATCCGCTATGTCTGATATCTATGTGTATAGATAAAGAAGATCAATATGATAGAAATAAATATTACAAATATTTAAATGTAGGGGCTTTTTATTATTTATTTGGATGGAGGCATGGCATATAAATGAATAATATAGAAATGAAAATATACACATCTATAATAAAGAAATAAATATAGGGAGATAGATAGATAGATAGATAGATAGATAGATAGAGAAAGAGAGAGAGAGAAAGAGAGATAGAGATAGAGAGATATAGCCATAAAAAAGAAATAAACACAAATTATCTATATCTAGACAAGCTGGTTAATATTCAATATGAAAAATATACGGATAGATGGTAATGTATTTTAATATCTGTTGTGCATTATATCTCTGTGTGTATAAATAAAGAAAATCAATATTATAGAAATAGATATTATAAGTCTTTCAATCAAGGGAATTACTGGTTTTTATTTGGTAACAGGCATGGCATTTAAATGAATAATATAGAAATGAAAATATATACATCTATAATAAAGAAATAGATATAGGGAGATATATATATAGAGAGAGAGAGAGAGAGCCATAAAAAATAAGTAAATACAGATAATCTAAATTTCAAAAAGTCGATTAATATTCAGTAGGAAAACTATATGGATAGATGCTAAAATAATAAATTTTAATATTAGTTATATCTAATATGTATGTGTATAGATAAAGAAGATCAATATGATTGAAATAAATATTACAAATATTTAAATGTAGGGGCTTTTTATTTTTTATTTGGATAGAGGCATGGCATATAAATGAATAATATAGAAATGAAAATATACACATCTATAATAAAGAAATAAATATAGGGAGATATATCTATGTATAAATTGAAATAAAAACCAAAAAAACCCCAAGTAATCTAAAACTAGACAAGTAGATTAATATTCAATTTGAAAAATGTATGGATAGACGTTCATATATTTTTATATTGATTATGCATTATATCTATGTGTAAAAATATAGATTAATATGATAGAAATAAATATTAATTACATTTAAGTGAAGGGGTATTTTGTTTTTTATTTGGTTAGAGGCAGGGCTTGCTAAGTTTCGATGGGGGGTGGGTTTTGGGGCGTTCCTCGGAGAAGAGTTTTTGGAAGGGGGTTGCACACGTGGTTTCTTGCCTCGCTTCTCTGCACGTGCAGGGGCNATAAAAGCCTTCCAAATGCAAACTGAGGATAAAAATATGCAAATACAGCAGCAAATTATTGCCAGACACATGCTCTTGATAATCAGGTGTCCAGGCTTTGCCTTAATTCTATTTTTTGGCAAGGAAAAATATACAAGGTATGAGAAAAATCAGATGATAAATGCATTTCTTATGAAACCCAACTGTCATCAAAAGCACTGTGCATCCAAAATTTCAGGTCATGCTGCACTCAATAGCTCATTTCCTAATTGTCCTGGAGTGACTTTATGATACTGGTATCCCCAATCATCTGGTTTATGTTATATATTAAGTTCTGCACCTTTAAGACTGGCTTTGAGAGCAAGAGAGGGGGGAAAAAAAAGCATGCAGCTTCTGTTAAAAAAAATCATCACTCCCACACATCCCACTCCTAGACTGTGGTGTGTGCAGCATGGACAGACAGCGGGACAGAGCTTCTCTCTAGCTTTTAGTTAGTTTTAGCTAGCTAAAGCAGAGGAGTTCCCTGGACCTTTGTTTTCTTTTTTTAGATCTGTGCAAACCTGCTCTGGACTGAACACCCAGCCAAACCCCCAGAGCTCACACCTGTGGCCAACCGGGGCCTGGGCCTCGGCACTTTCCAGCGCCGGAGGGACTGATAAGAACCTGAGTGAGCTGAGCTGCACCACATGAAAAAAACTTTTCTTCCTAAACTTACCATCCCATCGAACAGCAAGAGGTTTTATTATTTAATATTATTCAATTTCTGTTAAATGAACAGCTTTTCCCACTTCTCTCCAAAGAATTTTTTTTTTCCTTTTCCTGAACCAGTTAGTGTGGAGAGGCATTTACCTAAAAAAATTCTGATTTAGAATTTTCCTCCCTAATTTACCCTAAACTAAAACAAATACACTAATGTGTAGATGAAAACATCAGAGCTGTCTACAATGATGGACTATCAACACTGAACAGAATCTAGATGAACTTCTCTAGACTCTGCAGGGTTTCTGTGCTACCTTGCCTGTTCTCACAAAGTATACCATAACATCAAAAATATTCAGACGGGGGCTAATGTGGATGTCACTGATGTACCCCAGACACTGACATCAGTGATGTCACTGCAGAAGTGTGTGGACATACACATCTAGGTTCACTATGAATGGAGAGCCACGTCAGGCTAGTTCTGGTCAATTCTCAACATGGAAGTAGCACCTCTAGAAAGGAGCATTCCAAGTAACATTCCTAGCTCCTTTCTTCTTATCTCACCCTACCTGGAATGCTAGCACAGGCACTCTACCCACAAGAGAGAGACAAGAGCCACTAGGGACTATCTGCTGGGTATTTACTGCAGGCAGCAAACAGCCTGGGAGCACCAGGCAGCCCCTCCTGGCTGTCACCTGCTACATACGGCCACTGTATTTGGCTGGGGTGACACAGGAGGCACTGCTTGTTCCCTCTTGGCACTGCAGGCTGTGGGATGGCAGCAGTGAGGAGCCACTGGGCACTTCTGGGAGCAGCAGCACGACTGCACCAAGCTGCTGACTGCCACACAGAGACAGCCCTTGCTGGGACAGCAGGAAAGCTGTCTGTAGAGCCGGACAGCAGCACAGGCAGAGGGATGAGATGGTGAGTGGACAACTGATCGTGGTGGTACTCGTAGGTGCCCAGTGACCTACACCCTGGCACACTGCCCCACAGCTCATCCCTGCAGTTACAGCTGCCTCTTGCACCAGTGCTGTGGTTTGGATTATCAGGAGGGGCAAAAGCCAGAGCTTAGGCCTTTACCACTACTTTATTCAGCTCAACTTCCCAATGGATCTCTAAGAACCAACTGCTCCACTACTGCAGAGCTGGACTAACTCAGAAGTACATTTGCTGTTCATTCTCAGGACAGGCTATGGACCCAAGATCCCAGCTGTGCTGGGTGAGGCAGGTGGCAGTTTGTGCCCCATGGGCAAGGAAAAACCCGTGTGGGAAAAAGCTGCCTCAGAGCAGGCTTACCTGAGGAGTTGCGTGGGAAGCTGCCAATCCCATGGATGATGGGCATATTGGGCAGTGAGGGCATGTTGTTCTGCTTCCTCAAGACCTTCTCCTTCAAGGCACTACCAGGGTATTTTCTCCGCACACTGGAAGCTGTGCCATCGACAGGCGGTAGGCTAAAGCCTGTGGGGAGACCAAAGAGGAGCTTGTAAGTGGAGGCTGCTGCACAGGGTGACGATGGAAAGGGCCAGAAAACTTGCTGGACTTGGGTAACAGCTCTTTGTTATCCCAAAGAACTTCAAGTATAACAGTGGCATGCTAACATGGGACTGTGATCACAGTATCACAGAATCCTAGAAGAGTTTGGCTTGGAAGGCACCTCTAAGCACCATCTAGTCCAACCCCTGTGAGCAGGGACATCTTCATCTAGATGAGATTCCTCAGAGCCCCATGTAAATTGGCTTTGAACACCTTCAAGAATGGATCAACAACAGCAGCTTCTGTGAGCCAACCCTTCCAGTGCTTCATCCCCTTCATTATAAAAACATTCCCCCTAGAATCTAATCTGAATCTACCCTCTTCTAGTTTAAAACCAAATTGCAGTGATGCTTCCCCTAAGAAAGAAGGAAAACCCAGTATTGCTTTGCTTTTGTTTTCCTGTTTCTGGCTGGGGAAGTTACCAAATGAAAGTGCAGATAGCCTTGAGTGATGCCCTCGGGCTGAGTGCTGCCTCCTAAGGTCCCTGCTGCCACCCTGGGGGCAGCACACACAGCACTGCAGTCAGAGCCCCTCAGCCAGGATTCAGTCAGGAACGCTCCTTGCTCCTGGGGCTACAACAGAAGCACTGGCTCAGGGCTTCAGCACAGCTCTACAGTGCCAGCTCCTCAGCAGGCTGTGGCAGGAGAAGGATCTCTGGTGTTTTCATTAGAAGGAGTTGAATTTTGTTTCTTCTCAGTTCCACCATGGCTGAGAAGCATTCTTCTGGACTCCCCTTCCCTGCAGGCTGCTCTCCAGGAGAGAGTCTGAAGCTCCAGTCAACTTTACAAGAAAAAATTTTCTACTCTGAAAAACTTAAGAGGTAAAGGTGGGAAGCTGATATTCTCTTATTGACTTAGTGCGGCCATGGGCCTCTGTATATTTCTTTGGGGAACAGAACTAACTCCTCTTCAGTCTTCCACTTAGATGCAAGCAGCACAGCCCCCCAGTCTGATTGCAGCACTGAGCAAAGGGCAAGCAAATGATCAAAAATGACCACAAGTGTAGACACATACTTCCTTCTTCTGCATCCCCGGGGTCAACTACCAGTGGAGGTAGCTGCAAGGATGTTTTCCTTTGTGTCCTTTTCTTCATCTCGTCCTCAAAAACCTCCGCATCCTTCTGCTCTGAGTTCTCCTGAGCCAACTTGCATAATGCAGGACGGATCTAGTTGCAAAGGAAATACATCACAAATGTAAGCAGAGACGCCCAAACTGGACACAACATCTCATCAGGAGCACAGGGTCCATAGAGTGCCACAGTCTTTAATGCAGCTCCATATTCATTCCAAGTGTTTCAGAAGAATGTCTCCCAACCTCATCTTGGCAATTACACACAAGGAGGTGGAAGACTTTAGGGCCACAACCTTACACTGCCCCAACTGCAACCTATGACAGGAAGCCCTGCTTGAAGCACCAAAGTCATACGAGTGCTCCAAGACAGGTGAAGAGCTCACATGACCAGAGAGCAGGCAGTTCAGTTCCTACAGGCCATGGCAACAGAATAAAAACCATGTGCAATAAATACGCAGCAAGGAGGGGTAATTGCTCTTGCTTAACACTCATGGCCAGGAATGGCAGCTGTTTCTCACTTCCTGGCTTCTGAAGAACTCAGCTCTGAGGGACTCTGAGGGACTCTGAGGGACTCTGAAGGACCCTGAAGGACCCCAAAGGAAGTCTGCTCATCCCTGTCTTTATCCCTTACCTTTCCAAAGCCATCTCTCAGGTCTTTGTCTCTTGTAAGACCAGGACTGGTGGGATGATCCGTCTTCCTGGCCTGGCTCTGTGGGAGGCCTGGGAATGGAAGGATAGGTTTGTGTAAATCTCTGGCAGACTTCGAGGTCCCAAAAACACCATGTGGGCAACAGGCAAGACAGGTTCCAGACTACAAAGTTCTCATAAGACTGTCCTGGGGTGACTTTATGATGCTTTTATCCCCAGTCATCTGTTCTGTTTATGCTGGATATTATTTTTTTTACCTTT